GTATCCTGTAAAGGATGCCACATGAGTTGCACGTATGACAGAAGCGCACCGAATGATCGTGACTGGATCCTTGCCTCTTTGTATCGATTGGGAGGACCTTTTGGCGAACATTGGGGTTGGTAACGAGAGGTGGGTTTCTTGCGTAAACCACGCAAATATACTTCACTCACAAGACCGCTCAAGGAGAAGTGTAGTCTACTTGGATAAAAGCAGAAGTGCATGAAAAAAAGATTTCACTGCTCGTGTCGTTACGCTCCCCCCCCCCCTCGAGTGAGGGTCTTGGTACGACCCTCCCCTTCCCCCAACACCTACCTAGCAACTTCGCCTCGAGTGGGGATCTTGGTACGACCCTCCCCTTCCTCCAACACCCACCTACCAACTTCGCACATTTTCCATTTTTACCCAAAATTTCGCGTCGAGCGTCGGTATATAGCCAATGTTTAACGGAAAAATTTTTTAGACTTTCCCTAACCTCCTACCATTCTATCTGGAATTGCCGGGGAGGGGTGGGCGGTATATAGTACACATGAAACAGGAAAAATCACGAAAAGTCAACAACCGGGAAAAATTTTTTCCCAACGCGGCAATTTCTCTCAAAGCCACATACGACCGCCCGCCCCATCTCCCAACAGCGACCAAATACGATCCCCTCCCCAGCGGAAAACTCCCCCCCCCCCCTCAGTGTTTCACACAGCGATGCTGTACCCTGTGTACTGGTGTATGGCTACGGTCTACTCTAAACAGCTTCAGAATACGCTAGACGTTACGCCTGATTTCATTCAGAAGCACTCAACTTCTTCCTACTCTTCCGCAATGCGAAGTCCTAATGTGGCGAAAAGACTACGCCAAAAAATCATGGATCCCGATAAGAGAAGGCGACCGTACCCAACTTATTTATCCATAGCAGCCTCTAATTACCACCCCTTTGATCTGTACCGCATCCTCTAGAAAGTAAAAATTGTGAAAATCAATGCCTACTCATAGATGAGATCCGCCTCTTCCTTTCATCGTAGTTTCTATAACTCTACGACGCTGAACTCGAGAATCTGTGAGGGACGTGGACCTTGTCTTGGCGGTGTCGTTTAGTGAAGGAAAATTTGGCCCGAAATTTCGGTAAAAATGTCGCAGGACTTTTTTCCAACCTACGTTCCCATGGGACTGACATTTCTATTTAGGGGAGTTCCAAGTCTGTATTCATTGGCGCGTACCAGCACTCTCAAACATCTTCCCGGACTTCGATGCGACTCATATTTCACTCAGTTGTTTTCACAGCGATTGTTCAAATAAACAGAGCGAGTGAGTGTGTGTGCTGCAGTAGCTTATTAATAAAGATTCACGATGAGAAAGAAGTCGAGACAACATACGTTGCAATGAATATAACGAATATTTGGAATATACTCAATATAAAATCTGAGATCCACAACAATAAGTAAGCATTTCCTAAATATCTTAAAAACTGATTAAGAGCAGTTTGAGTAATAGTTAGTCTGTTAGTTCAGAAAGATGACTTAAAGCTAGATAGGTAAGTTTCACTTGTTAGGCCTCGATTCCTATTATAAAAAAATCTCAAGGCATTAATCATGTATGGAAAGCACGCTCATGTCAAGAGGCGGTTCCGGGCACTCAGTGACGCTCATATCGAGAGGTTCCTGTGAATCGGCCTCCTTGACGCTATCCGTCAGCGAAGTCCTTTCTTTATAAAGCTGTGCCAGTATGCGCATCACCTGGACAACAATACTAGAATTAAATCTTAGTGATTTTAAGGAACTTGTCTTACCTCGCCATGCTTCACACCAGGCCCCTTATGTTTACCATAATTTTCCTTCACAAATTTCGCAAAAGGATTCAACTCTGACGAATCACCAGCAGCCATTCCTTTTTTCGTACGTGTACGCGCTTGGAGAGTGAAGCGGCTCTTGCAGATACCACATATCATCCGATCAATGTTTAGTGATTTACTATGACGCTTCACTCTGAAAGAAAAACCACAATATGTCAGTTTATTTCAAGCGATGTGAAATGATTCTGAAGCCTATCGTTAACTATAGCGGCCGGCTGCTCAGCTACTTTTCTAGTCACTAGAAGCATTCAAGAATGATTAATGGTAATAAGGGAAATCTTCACAAGAGCGTCAGGGGTGAAATGGCTTCAGCGATAGGTGATTTGAGAAGGTACAGCCTATACGGTGCAAAAGGAAGTGTTCAGAACCGAGAAAAAGTCATAGAACTCATCCCATTTACTGGTAGCGCAAACTTGTGGAAAGGACTTGTTCAGGCCACAACTTGAGGACGTATTCCGCTAATCGCACGCCGCTGATGGTAAAACTCATGGATGGATGGGCTAGCAGACTTCAAAAACACGCAGAAAAGAGATCAGTCGAAAACACCTAGATAGGCTGACAACTGCGAGCGATAAAGCACACGGTCGTACAAGCCTCAAGGCGGATATCTATGTATATGTGCGAGGGGTGTTCAATGTATTCTCGGTATAGGTATGAAGGAAAAGCCGAAAAATTCTGATAAAATTTATTTTTCAATGTAGTCCCCATAACCTCAATACACTTGTTTGCTCGGGAAACTAACTTTTCAATACCCTCTAAAAATATTTTTCCTCCTTGTCCCCAAAATGTGCGTTAGTTGCCGCCTTCAGCTCTTCATCGTCAGAAAAACGCTTTCCACTATTGTTGTTTGCCCGGTAAGCAGAAGATGCGGGTTCGAATCCTCGTCCGTGGTCCGACTTTTGTACCATAACTCAGCATTCTTGTGATAGCTTTCCACTATGATCTCTTTTTTAGGTTGGGGAATAAGGAAAACCACTTCATGTTCTCAATTTTCTTTTCATTTTTCTCTTTTTTTCAATCAGTAATCATTTTCTCAACATTGTCGCATCAGTCATTCTGGTCTTCTTTCACCAAGGATAACTAGAATAGCATTGATGATAACTAAATGAAATTTTGTATTTATACCCTCAGAAAGTGTCGTCACCCAATGAAATGATTGGAATTCCTTCAGTGCTGAATAACCCCATATCAAGAATACTTTGAACAGCCCTCGCATGGTGACATGAGGGTGGTGGCACCGTAGAAGGCGTGGCTAGACTGAAGTCACAGGTCATTGGCGATCTACCAAGCGCTTTCGAATGTTCCTTGTATACGAAGGAACGGACCACGAACCCACGAAATGGCTTACAAGCGCAAAATTATCATTTCTCGTGAAACCTTCAATAATTAAATCATGGCTGAGTGGCTCGCACGATAAATGTGCGAGCGTCGTAAAGCTACGACAGGAAAACTGCCAAGCTGAGTATGTAAGAGACATTCCTGGTGGTGCAACGGATAACACAATCCGGAAAGCGTGATGTGGGGATTCAGGTCTCGCCCGGGGTCAAGGCTAGTATTCATGAGTCAGCACTCTCGGGACAACTAGTAAACTGTCTCTTGACTGCACAGGGTAAAGCGGTGGAACTTCTTATCATAGTGTCTCATCCCACCATTACATGCAAAGTAACATGGTACGTCTCGCAGTATCGGCACCATCGCCAGTTTGATTAGATAACATATCTCGAAATTCGCCATGTTAAGAGCAATACTAGGGTAATATGTCAGCAACAATTTCCGAATGCTCACTTTTGGCCACATCCTCCACACTCGTAGATATATTTGGCATCAATTTCATAAGCGTGACATCGTTCAATCACTGGTAGAGAAGGAATCGTCGCATGCATTGAGCAGCCCTAAAAGCTTCCGAAAAATTATGCGAAACTGCTGGAAAGCGATTATTAATTCATATTGATTGCAGACTTCTGAAATGAGGAACATACATTTCACATCATAAACAAATTCATTCCGAATTCCTATAGTTACGGAACGTGTCAACCTGCTACTTTACTTGACGATGTAGTAGCCTACTTTCTGGGATATAAAAAGCATTTCCCGGCAAGGTCGCAGTCGCAGGCGACAAGGGGCGCGGAATGTACAGTCCTCATCATTGCAGACCGGTGGGGCGTGTCAGCCAGAAGGAGCGCGCACATTGTTGAAGCCGTTCTCAGCCTTTTTTTTGTTGCAACGCGTATGCGACAAAAAGTGGTAGAAAACGAAATCAAATACGAAGGAATACTCAGCTAGCACCTGCCCGCTTCAAAAACTGCGTGCCCAGAACGACTTTTTGCCGACCGCACAAAAACGAACGGCCAGCTGCACTACACACCCCACCCAAAGTCCAATGATGGGAACTGATATGCGTAAGCTGGTGATCTCCTAATAAGGTTTCAACCTCCGTTTTCACTTGGCAATGGATCATTCACACAAGATTTGAACGAAACCAAAATAAAAAACAAAGGAAGGTGGAAGCGTGGAGAACTTGAGCGATTGAGACGGAGTGCGCTCGTACCGTCACTGATGCGATACCTCAAAATTAGGTAACTCGTAAACTGTGGTATATTACTTAGGAGGTTGAATTAAACAGCAGTAGTAAGTGCAACTAATAAGTGATAGCTCCACTGATATTGCAGAAAACAACGCACTCACCATTTTTTTCCATAAAGGACCATGTCCCTCTTTGCGACGCCCATCTACCACCCATACTGCAGCATGACACAGTTCATGAATGAGAGTATCACGGACCCGATCTGAACTCCAATTTATGTTCCACGTCCAATCTCCAGCCATTAAACCATAGAAGTTTTCGAAAGTACAGCGAACTTCAAGAGTCGAATAACTGACCAGGAGTGCTGCATACTTTTGGTGATAACTCTACACAGCTTGTGCGATCAGACATATTTCGGCACATTCCGGCAGTTTTACATAGGCGATTGTTCCATCTCACGGGAAGGAATTCTGGTAACTGCATCACAAAATAGGATAATGTTTAAGTGCTATTTAAATAAAATAAATAAATAAATAACAAGAATAAATAATGTTCGATGAGTAAATCGCAAATTACCATTTGACGCGGGTTAGAATGACAACTCAAACGGTTCCCTCACCTCATCTTTGAAACACTGCCTCCTGAATATATTGAACAGACGAGTGGTAAGCTCCATTCGGATATTTTCGTTCTTGATACCTTTTTTCACATAAACTTCGGCATCTGGATGCCGTTTCCCAGGATAATCCGCTGCTAGCGATACAAGGAAATGTTCATCCGGGTCCAGTTCCTGTTACAAAAAAAAAATGCAGGATTACCCTCTGAGCATCGATTCTCAGGAACTGACACCGCTGCCAAAAAACAAATTACTGTTAGAAAACAAACGGACCTTCTTCGATTTCGAAAGCACAGATGGGCTATTGAATGAATCTTTGATTGAATTCAGCAGCCTCTGCTCTGAAAAGGAAAAACAAAATCGACAAGAGCAAAAAGCAGCGAAAATTTTCAGGGAAAGTCTTGGGTGAGGCACCTAACATGTAACTTACTACTTCGAATCCTGCCTTGGTCGTCATCGCTTGCAGTCCAAGATTCATCACTTGACCCACCGTCAGAATTCGTAGCACTGGAGACATTGCTATCGCTGACAACAAAACTAAAAAAAGAAAACAATACAAAAAAGGCAGCAACAAAATTATTGCAAAAAACTCGTCAAGGATCCAAAAGAATCCAAAATATTCTCGTCAAACTGAAGTTTTATATTTCTTATATTTTCTTCCTTCGGATATGTCGTGTTTAGCACTTTCTCGGTGATCGCCTGTCCCCACCCCCTTCCCCCGAAGGTGTCTGCCACCAAGTGACCGTTGCCTTGCTTCCGCAGGTGCGGTTTAGCTACCCTTGCGAAGCCGCGATTTTAAGTATTGGATGGTAATCGGCCATTAATTCTTCTCTGCGTAAGTCCTGGATTCTTTGAATATTTGGAGTTTTTTGCATAAGTCCCTGGCCTTGCTTTATATTGTTTTACACTCAGGTTATGATGAGGCTCCGGTACAGCACTATACTCCGAAACTAAAAAGGTTGTCGTTAGTTCGATAAGATGGTGGAATAACTTAACATCACAAAGTATTTAAGGGAGGTCTTATTTGTTAAAGTCAAAGAGCAGACCGGAACAAGAATGTCGCACCTGCTGTCATTATGAAACTGACTTCTTGCGAATCGCCATCTTTTTCTATTGGAGTCATTTTCAGCGGAGTTTTCTGTCAAGATCTAAATTTGTAAAGCAGATCTCATCTGTTGGAGTGTAATTCAAACGAACTGAAGGATCACAGTTTTCGAAGTTGTCATCTGAGCTGCTGTCGGTGTCATTAGAATGACTTACTGGCTCTTTAGATGGTCTCTGTCTCAGGTTTTTCTAAACAGTATAATTTAACTAAGTACAAGGAATTCAGTTCTTAGGAATCTAACTCGCAAAAAATTTCAGGTGGAAATTCCTTGCATCGTTAAAGTCTGTAATAAGTAGCGAAGATTTCAGGGAATGATTAAAGGATTAGGTTGGGGAGAAATGGCTTTGTTTTCCATGGGTAACTGAGTGGAGATATTTGAAATTTTGATGACAGGTACGGAATGCTTAGGTGGGCATTTATTTCGATAACGATGAGAAATCAATGAGGAATGAGCATTTAGTCACCTTTTCTGGTGTTATTACGGATGAAGACGGAACATCACCATCAGGACTACTCGATATAGCATCATAATCCTCGAGCTCACCAATACATCCTTTGTTAAAGGAATTACCTGCAAACAGTTTCATATTTCTACGATAACATAACTATTTTCTGAAGCCATGAATGCACCATTTCCCGCCTTCAAGGTGAGCCCGTTTGCCTTCTTCTGCTGTAACAGATTTATCCCATTTGCGCCAATCTAAACATAGAAAATATGGAATATCAAAGTCCTCACGTATAAAATAGACCACGAACCTTGGCGTCTCGCTGCGGCAGATTTTTCCTCGCTGAACTTGGTAGAACTTCCTCTCCATATGAGAAGTCAGATTCGGACCTCGACAGAAAGGATGCGTCATCTGCAACAAGGTCATATGGTACTAACCCGCGTTATTCGCTCCGTTATAGATAGGTTGGTTAGAGGCATAGACTAAAGATTCTGAGTAAGTGGTCGATAGTGAGAAAAAGGCAGAAAAAAAAACTTGTCACTGCCCCAGATAGAACCTCCGTACACCTAAGTAGAACCGCCAGTGTTTTCAGTGCTACGTTGCCTAATTAACTCCATCACGGCGAACACCACGCCCCTCACTCTGCACAGCTGATTACCCTTAAAGAACTTCTTTTACGCGTACAAAGTGGACGACTTTTCATGCTTTTTCGTGTCCTGGCAGCTTCGTTTTTCACTGAAGGGCGGGTCTGGAGGCGGAGCTCACTGGAGAAAAGAATGGCTGCGTCTCTGAACTATATTGGCGGGCTATAGCGCCCGCAATCCTTACGATTTTTTGGCCCGCGAACTGGTACGAGGTTGTTCCGCGTGGACCACAACTCCTATACCTGTTCGCGGACCATTTCTTTAAACAAAGTCAGTACGCGTGGCTTGGATCAATTTGTTGCTTACAAGGGAAGGATGGTAGGTCGAAGTGGCCATTTGAAATGAAATGTATACCGGCTGAAAGGTCTTCGGACGGGAATTACGAAACCGTCTTCCATATCTGCTGCGGACCTCTCCCAGAAAGAAGTTACGGTACTTCGTACGGGAGAAAACACTACAAACTGGCGGCGGCGTAAGGCCCAGCGAGATCGTGGCAGCATGGCCGAGTGGATACGTCGTAGAGCTCACGGATGCGTGGTCGAGGGTTTGGATCCTTGATGCGTGTGCTCTTTTGCATTTTTTCGAAAGTGGTCCCTGTGCACTTTAAAACTATTTTGTATAACACCTGTCCTGATAATGTCGTGGGTAAATGATTCTGAACTGATTGGAGGCCGTTGCCGAAACGATTCCATGGAGATCACCTCCAATAGATAATCATAACAAGCCGAAAACTACCACAGGTACGAAAACATCTTTGATATGAATCATTTAACATTGTGTGATGGTGAATGAAGCTCTTTGCCCAGCGCGACTCATCAGTGACTTGTCACAATCAACGCCACTTTCAAATGGAGCATTTTCCCAGTTACTAGCTCATCTTCGTGCTACAATTCGTGCGTTCGGGATTCGTTTTCCAGTCATGTTGTTTGGAGAATAAAGTCATTTGAAGGCGAAGTCTTCCTTCGGAATGCACTTTTGTTGTGTATGCTTTTCAAATCAAAGTAAAAGAAAAAGACAACCATGAAGTGATCGCTATGGAATGGTTCGCAATGGCTCCATCACTTCAGAATCATTACGTCACGACATTATCAGGGACAAGTGTTATGCAAAATAGTTTCGAAGTGCACAGGGACCACTTTCGAAAAAATGCAAAAGAGCACACGCATCAAGGATCCAAACCCTCGACCACGCATCCGTGAACTCTACGACGTATCCACTCGGCCATGCTGCCACGATGCTCCCTATGCCTTCCGCCGCCCAATTTATAGGTGTTTTCTCGGCCTAAAAGGCCCGATAACTTCTTTCTGGAGGGTCCGCAGCAGATATGGAAGACGGTTTCGTAATTCCCGTCCGAAGACCTTTCAGCCGGTATACATTTCATTTCAAATGGCCACTTCGACCTACCATCCTTCCCTTGTCAGAAGCCAATACTAGTATGAACCTATGAGTTAAACATGTCAGCATAGGCCACAAAACTGTCGCCATCAAACACAATACACCCACCAACAGAGGTTCGTTGTTTAATGCGATGTTCTTTCTCACTTTAGTCAGTCCATACCATTTTGTAAACAACTAAGCGGCGCTCCAGTAGGCCGCCTTCATACACGCGATTGCGCGCTTCTGCGGAGTTTCAAACCGATACTATCATTCCCTTTTGCGCAAAACGTGCGCTCGAATCTGCGGTATTCATTGTCGGAGGAGGCGCTATGTTATGCACTGGCTTTGTCAGCCGCAGCTTGCTGATCTGAATGACAGGGGAAACGGCTTGGTATATGCGGGTGTAGCGCTGCTAACCAAAAAAACAAACTAACAGCTTCTTACAAAGAGAGAACCTAGAATCACGAGAATCATGACTTACAATAACGAAATCGTAATGTCTTCGTTACGATTTTGACCTTTCTCGAGATTTGCTTCTCACTTCAACAACCGAGAAAATTAACATGCATTCCTAATGGGATTGATAAAGGATGCAGCGTCCATTATTAACAAGAACGAACGAACGAATAACCTTTCGAATGATTTCCTACTGAGATGTCTCCTCCAGGATTACTCTGAAGCGTCATCCGATGGCAAGAACTCAGCCCTCCAGAGAGGCCGTCTAGTTGGTTACCGCAACAAGTGATGAAACAAAAGAACAAGCAAAAGGCTCTCACCGGTGAGATATTCATCATCTGCACAACGAAAGAAATCGGTGTTGGCATTGCTTCTTCTTCCGTTTCAGAATATCAAGACTATCGCCTGCCTATGACAAGACTTATAAAGGAAGAAACTTTGGTGCAGTGTGTCTTCCTAAATTGAACTTTTCACACTGCGCAATTGCAATTTTTAATAAATTACTCTGCAAAAAGTCGTCATTTCTTTGAACTTTCACACTGCATTGCAATTTTAATAAATTACTCTGCAAAAAGTCGTCATTTCTAAGTTGCAGTCTGATACAAGGTGTTCTCCGATGCTACCGTTACTGCTCAATCACCTTCCTCAAGCTACAGGATCCACAAAGCGAGTGTGAAAAGGAAAACTGTCGGCGGCCACTACAGGAGACGCCAAAAAGTTCTGGCAATTTTTCGAAATACTTTGGTATCGTAAAAGTGCCATTTAATTAACTTAACCAGCGAACCTAAACTTTCGGGAATCTTCATTAGACCAGTAGCGATGACGGTGTACAGAGAAATCACAACATGTGTTCAGAATTGCCTCCTTTGCTTCCCAGATCGAAGCTCGCAGGATGCGTCGTCTGGTCGGTGCTGGTCGCTTGAAAAATGTGCTCTTCACCGACGAAAAATTCCCACGATCGAGCCTGTACACAACCACCAGAATTGTCTGTACTACTCAAGAAGGGTCAGCAGAAGACAACGGCAGCGAAACCCGTCGGCCATAGCAGCTTTTCCAGCTCTCAGTCATATGTCTGTGGGCTGGGATCTGTGTTCAACGAAAACCTCCACTCGTCTGTCATCGACCGTACCTTAAAATGAATTGCTGCTACTCAAATAGTGCGTATCTTCGTCGAATGTACGCGGAGCCATGGACGTCGCAGCACTTTGGTTCAGATGGATTTGTGCCTTAGCAAAACTGGGCTCCACTGCAGTCTGCCCAATCCACCTGCGAAGAGCTGCTTCCGGGATTTTGGGGCGAGGACATTTATCCTTCCAACTCGCCTGATCTGAACCCGATGGATTACTCCGTTTAGTCTATCTTGGAGCAGAAAATCTCAGGAATCCAATGCGTGACGGTGGATCATTTGAAAGCAGCATTACTGCGTGCTTGTGACGAAATTACAGTAGAAGAATGCGCGACCATTGTTGGACACTTCGAAAAGCGACTGAGCAAATGTATTGAGGTCAAAGGATGCGATTTTGAATACATGTTGTGATTTCTCTGTACACCGCCGCTGTTAGGTTAGTAAATGGTTTTTCTATAATTCAAAGTATTTCGAAAAATTGGCCAGAATTTTGGTGACGGCTGTATATTAACAGAAAGAAAAGCCAATGAACAATCGTTATGTGTTTTGTAATATTTTATTGTTTTTAATAGTTGTAATATTTTCAATTAATATTTCTCATAATAATAAGGCTAATGGCATAACCTACTTCTTTCTCAATCGACACATTATCCTCGCGGTCTTCCGAAAGGAAACTACTCGATTGAACCTCACAACTCTGGCTGAAATCAACGAAAATCAAAATGTGATTGTATCTTTTCTCGCGGCTGTTATAATGTCGTCTTTTACACAGCCTTCAACAGAGTAGTGTTGATGTTCACTGCGTTTTCTAAAGACGGTAAAAGTCAATACTGTTGCTTGATTAGCAAGCACTGTGGACACGACCCACGAAATTGTTAAAGACGATTACAAACAAAAAAAAAAACAAAATATTGGAAACATCCCAAAAAATGATCCGTTCGGCCTTTTACCCCGGATGAACCATCACTGCCTCGCCAACCCGAGGCTCGTCAGTTAGGTAGGGTTGACGAAACAGGGGCAGAGACTACTTATGGGTAGAAGTTGAAAGAGAGATAAAAATGAGAGGAGTTGAACATGGGCGCTCGTGCAAAAATCATGCAGTAAAGAGAAGGTAAAAGTATTGGATAGAAAACTGGATGAAGGGCATCACGTGAAGTGTGTAACCAATACGGGCAACAGGAAAAATGTGTGTACTTAATAAGCTAAAACCAACTGAGGGGATACTGTGCATATGACACGGTTGAAACGAGTTATAAAGTGCTCAAGTGGTGAAATAAGAGTTGTGCTGTGTGAGACGCCGCAGGAAAAAGCCAACAGGGGCGTGTACTGCCAAAGAAAACCCCGCGGTTGCATAGGAGGACAGTAGTGTTCACTTATAAACCAGTAGTCGCTAAGTAATTCTCGGGAAGGAAAAAGAAAACAAAAAAGCATTGATGACACCTCGAGTAAGGTTCTGCAGCCTCACTGGACGAGTTTTCCGGACCTGCTCGTTTTATGCTGGCAAAGCGATATCCTGTGGCCTCTGGCTCATTAATCGTTTCTTCGCGTCATCCAATGCTAATATCCGAAGACGAGAGAAAACGAAAAACACGATTGTGGAACTTGTGGCAGAAAATAGACTCTGTTTTGGTGGGTGGGACAACTAGGGAGGCGTCTGAAGTGTCTTTTATAAAGGCAACAGCTCTTCCGTTACTTACTGCGAAGCCGCGAAAGCAGGAAAACCTCGAGAGATTGAGGATCAAACTACTTGTACAAGAGAACAT